GGTGTTTATTGTTTATTAGTGATAATTCTTATAAGCATGACAAGGTAGTTTACAAGTTATAGTTGTAGCATTAAAATTGTAGCAGAAACAAAATGCAGACCAAGCTGCCTACCACCACTGATAACAGGACCTGCTCTCATCATTCACAGTGACAGCATCTAGTGTACTGTCTCTGTAAACAGAAAGCAAATAGCTGCAATGCCAGAACAGAGTTGGTGCAAAAACAGGGACATCTGGCTATGTATACCAGCTCCCCAAAAAAATAGTCAAGACGGTGAGCTGAGCAGTGTTAGTTATGCAAAGGATTAGTTTTGCTAGCTAACCACCAATGTTTTCGGCTCCATAAAAGCAAGCACATTTTCTGAGAAGTGGCAATAGGCTATGTTGAGCATATGACATGCTCGCTATGTGATACCGAGGATTTCTGTACAAGTGAAAGTAGGACTGTTACTCAGTGTCACCTGAAATTTGTTTGTCCATGCTTGTGTTTCTGGTGTCTTGGCTACGGTCATTCCTTGTGTGTGGTGTTCCTGTATTGAAGTCCTGTTCATGCCCTGCATGTCTTGGTCTCGTATTCACATTTTTTCATGTTTGTTTCCAGTGCTTCTAAAATGTCCGACGTTGACACATATATATATATATATATATATATATATATATATATATATATATATATGCTTATTAATTATAATCTATAATAAATAACCATCTTGAACCCTACTGTTTTTCTTCTATTTTGCATGTTCAACAAAACTCCTTGTTTATGGTCCTTAGTCAAACTTGTATTAATGAAGGACTGCTGCCTTTATACATTAGGTTTGCAAATATATACAGGGTGAGGAAGCAAAAGTTGCAATAAAATTTAAATTAAAGTTTCCTACCAACCACTACACCATATGATGTGAAACCTAATGAAGAACAAAGTGTATCCTGTCAACTATTAACACAAACCTATTTTTTAAGAGCATTGTGGACAATAGATTCACTGAAGAACAAACTGCAAAGAGTGTCAGATTTGCTTCATGTACAAAAATCTAGAAGCATTTATCAATATAGCTGGTATATCTTTGCACACTGTCTACAATGTCAAGAAAAACATAGATATGGGCAACAACATCCAGAGGAAGTCGAGCAGTATTGGGGTCAGTAAAAAGTGGAATCTGGATATCATTATTGCTCTCAAGACATGAACTACAAAGGATCCAACATTGTCCATGTGTAAGACAACTGCAGAATTAAAAAACTCTAAGAGTATCAAAATGGTTTTGCATGATGGCTTAAATCACATACCAGGGTGTCAAGGCACCTCATCACAAAGTTCATGAAGGCCTAGAGGCTAGAAAGATACAATAAAATGCTAAGGTATCTCAAGATATCTTTTAAGCTAAAATCAATTTGATATGATGAACATAAAAACTAAGTAAATATTAATATAAAAAAGTAAAACTAGTTACCTTTGAGTTTCAAAGAGGTGGGGTGATTGGATTAAATGAGGTAACTGGAATTTTAAAAAATATTTTTTTTCATAATTTTCATTAATGAAATGCTTTATTTACACTATTTACATGCAGACTATGTTTGCTGTTCTTAACAACATTTCAGCCATTGCACCTTCTGGCCTTTGTCAGATCTAGATCAATCCAAGTAGCCTACAGGGAATTCCGAACAGAACCCTTTATTTAATCTATAGGGATAGACTTTTCTTGTTCCACTGCCTATATCTAGGAATACCTCATCTAGTTCTTATTTTTAGTATTGCTCAGTTATTGCTCACCCTGTTCCCACTAGGTCCAAGTACAGACTGCCTGGTCCAGTGATTGAACTCACAATAACTTATTTGTCCATTCAAAAGGATATTGGGATGGCTTAAGAATAAACTTTATTTGTACCCCCTTACCTGTTTGCACTTCTCCCCAAAATTTGGTTTTGATCAGTCAATGTATGGCTATTTTAGAGGGTGTGATCAACAGACAGACTAACAAAAGTCATAGAATTTTATATACAGATAGATTGATCAAAGGGATTTGTATATAGCTGATAGTTTTTTTTGTATTTTTTAATCAATTCACCCCAAGCAAGGAGATAATGCCACTAAAATGCAAGGTGCTACTGGGAGTGAAATAGAATGAGAAGACTTCAGAAGGAACTGGAAACCCAATCCAAAACAGGAAACAAGGGATAAACCTCTACTCCTGTTCAGAAGATCAGGGAGAAGTGTGAACTGGACAATAGGTGAACCTATCTACTCCTTTTGACATTTTTGAACAAGCATGACATTGTAGTAAGATTTGTTTGGATTTTCTTTACTGGAAACCTTGGAATAAAACAAACTGACTCAAGGTTTTAAAATAAATACTATATTTTTATTTATTTTCTTTAGAGTGATGAGCGAGTCCTTTGGTATTCAATGTAGCAAAAAGTTCATTAATAAGGCGGATATTGGTAGCAGTCTGGAGAAAGATTCGCTTTGGCCAGGTATTTGAGTGTTTAGAGTTAGCACTTTATAGTAGTCATGGGTTAAATAAGGTTCTATTCCTTAGACGCTGTTTGTACAACACAGAATTCTCCTTCTCAAGACACCGTTCTTGAATTTACTCACATGTTACCAACGTAGAAATTGCCACCCACTTCTCACTGCTCCAGCCTTTATTTATTATCCCAAAACCACAGCTGACTGACCAATCAGCATTCTTGGCTTCATCACACAGCAAAATGTCATCTTCCAGTCCAAACAATCGGTACGCAGATTGCTATTGGTCAAACCGCACTAAGCTGTATAAAAAACAATGTTTCAGAATCATAAACTTCCAGAATAACTAAGTAGTGGGGTGGAGTCATGCTATTTTCAAAGTAACAAAATGTCACTGCTATGTGCTGTGTATTGAGATAAGGAAGTTATTATTTTCTTTTACACCATATGCAAGACACTCTGACTCATTTACTGCTATATAATTGTTCACTACACAGTCATCTTAGAAATAGGTCAGTGTCAATCTAATGTGTTTTTCTTGATCCTAAACAGGGCAGGAATATCATTAGCAGTTGACCTCTTAATTACTTCTTCACACATCACACTTGGCTGATTTCTCTGCAGAGCGTTCTTTTGTTCTGTCCTCCCCTTGTTCCATCTGCTTCTAGCCCAGAAGTTTCAGGTTTATATCCTTTTAATCAGGCTCAAAAATCTGGCTGAACATTGGTTTTGGCTAACATCAAAAGTCACTTTGTGTCAATTTTTTGATTAACCAAAATTATTTTATTTTCCGGTGTTCTTGTTTTTTTTCTATATGACAGAAGTTTTGTGTGGTGCCTCCCTGATTTTTAGTATTTTTCAGTCATTAATAAATAGACTGTTCCTGCAAACTTCCAGTGTTTTTCAGCCGGGTTCAGTCTTTTCTTCTTACTCTTTATTTGAGGGTTGTCTTTTTGTTGGTTGAGAGAGAGGAGTGAAAGTGAAAGAAAGAGAAGGGTTTTAAAGGAAAGCACAAATGTCTTATTTTCATTATTTTTATTTATACAACTTATTTTTATCGGGATTCGCTCACTACAATATCCATATGACCCTACAGAGCTACCAAGGTCATTTAAATATGTGACTTGATTTCTGAAGTTAATGTTTTGGTTTTGTAGTAGTTTGCAGCATTGGACAATGGCACATCCAATAAAGAATCAGACTCAATGAACAGAGTGATGGACTTGCTTATCATTACTCCAAACTCCACAGAGGGGTCCATTTTGGGCTCAGGGTTAGAGATGTTAGTTTCTTGGTATATTAATAACTAATGTTTAAAATAAAATTATTCTTGGTACAACTATAAAAAGAAAAATGGACATATACTACACACACACACACACCTTTCTTTCTTTACTAGTTCAATAATTTTGTTGAAATTAATAGTCACTACATGAGATTTTCTTGGTCATGACGAAGACTGAAAGTGTGTGTGTGTGTGTGTACTTTTTTTTTTTTTTTTTACCCCAACAGACAAGTTTAAAAAAAAAAAAAAAGTTAATGTTGAGAAATGATGAAAAAGAAAGAAAAAGAGATTTGAATTTATCAAGTACGGTTTTCGATAACGTGATAACCAGAAATAAAGAACTAGCAATTTCTGAATATTTGTTTAATGTTTTTCTACTTCCTCTACTCCTGTTACCCGACCCCGCATCCCAAAGTTATATAACTTACACAATAACACGAAAAAAATAAAATAAAATATAAACTTTTTAAACCAAACATGACGTCATCAGGGTGTCCCACAGGGCTGTTTTATAAAATCGATAGGCGTGGGGGAAGAAAAAGAAAGATTATTTATCAAAAATAAACGAAAACATGAAAGTTTTTGATGTTTTTGATTCTCAACTCAATCACCGAGCCAGTCCGCCATTTTTTGAGAACCCGACAAGTTTTTAAAAACTTTAAATTTATCCTGAATTAGAAAAGTGACAAGGAATAAAAAGTAAAAGAAAGACATTAGAAATAAAATAAGTTTTCAAAGCAGATGAGATTAAGGTTCAACTTAAAAAAAGGGATGTTTGATTTTTTTTCTTTATTTCCTTTAAAATAACGAGCTGCTGACTGAATCGAAAAATAACAAAAAATGTCCAGATCTTTTTTTCATAACTTTTCTTCAGTTCCTGACACACGATTATTTTGTTTTGTGGTCCTATTTTTCAATAGTTATTGTATTTATTTTTATTTGAAACGATTACATAATGATTCAATAATGGTTCATACATTTGATTTGAATAGTTTTTTGTTTTTTTTTAACTTTGATCGAGTTATGTAACATTGTAGAACTGTCATGTTCTAATTTTGCTAATTATTGCGACATCATAAAATAACAATTGTCAAAAAAAAAGCCACAAATAAATTTAAGTCGCAAAAAACTTTACACAAAGATAAAAAAAATAAAATCGAAACTTCAATTCATCAACTGAAGTGAAGAATAAGATGTTTCTAATTTATTTATTTTTTAAAAAGCACTTTGAAATCTTGTACATACCAGCAAAAAGCGACCGACCAGAGTGTATGCATCTGACGAAGGCCCTGCTTCTTTTGAAATCCCTTAAAATCAAAACCGGACCCCGAAAATTGGAGATAAATTTAACAGCCAACATCTTTCGCAGTTCGTCTGAACTTCCAATGTGTTAATTTCTCTTGATATTGTATTCAACTGCAGTCATCAGTAAGGGAAGCGAGATGCTCACAGATGTTGTCACTTAAAGAATAAAAACAAGAGAGTTAGTAATAATTTAAATGGGGTTATTAACATAAAATTAAAAATTTTTTTTTTTTTTGCTGTAAAAAAAATAAATATATTTAAATGCTTTTTTTTTTTTTAATTTATTTCTACGTTTGACATATATTTCAGCTTGTATTCTTCTTCTTCAAAAAAAAGCAAACTGATGTGTTGATTCATACATATTGTTGGATTACCACCCCACCCTCATGACGATAATCACAGGCGGCGCGAGATTTGAAAGCCGCCTTCCTTCTTTTTTTTTTCTCTCTCTTTTGACTTGAGAAGAAACAAAACATTATTTCTAACACTGGTAGACAGAAGGTCATGTATGTACTTCAGAGTCACAGACTGAAGATTGTGTGACCTCCTCATAAATTTTATTTAATTTCTTATTTTACCCTTCTGTAACATGTTTTGTTAATACATTTATTAATTGTTGTTTATTTGAATTCTTTGTTTTTTATTTTTACCAGGACTCCCATGAGTCCACCAAATATTAGTTGTGGGGCAAATGTACCAGGAGGCATAAGATTAATAACTTCCATTGCTGCAACAATATATATATATATAAATATATATATATATATATATATAATATTAGTGGTCAATATATATTAGTGGTTAATATATATATATATATATATATATATATATATTTTCCAAGAGGATAAAATCCAGGTAGAACTCAATGTCACAGGACAGAGCAAGAATATAATATAAAAGGCTCAAACACTAATATTCCATGGTTATATATATATATATATATATATATATATATATATATATATATATATATATATATATATATATATACAAATGTAAATGAACGAAGGATAAAATTCCAATGTTCAAAAAATTAATATATATTATATATATATATTATATTCAGTTGTATGGATATGAGTTTGTGACCATGGGTTTCACACTTTTCTGATCCTCAGACAAACTAGTTTATTTTTTAAAAATTGAATCTATGCTTGTTTGTGTTTGATTATGTTTGGTGGTGGGAGGGGGGAATTCTCCTCTGTGTCTGTTTGGGATGAAACTCTCACACACACAGACATACATACATACAGGTGTACACATTTTAGTTCATTCATACAACTGAATATGTTAGCTCTATTACTGATATTGAGCACTTTCCAATAAGTACTGCACATATAAAATAATATATATAGAAATATATGTCGCGTGTTGGAATCATATTTTTAAATAAATAATTATATTTATATATATATATATATATATATATATATATATATATATATAGATATAGATATAGATAATATTAGTGGAAAATGTACATACATATGCAAAATATATAAATACCCATACATGTATATTTTTAGAAAAAAAATTCCAAGAGGAAGAATCCAGGTAGAACTCAATGTCTAGGACAGAGTAAGGATATAGTAAAAAGGCTTAAATACTAATATTCCATGGTCATAATTTATTCCATTGGAATCGTAAATACGATCCAATTCATCAGACCTACAAATTCAAAAAGAAAACAGAAAAAAACCAACTCTGGAAATAAAAACAGAATTTAGAGAAAGTGTAAGTATGAGGAGGAGGGAGATTAAACCTTAACAGAGAGAATTTTAGGAGAGATGGGTGGTTTTCTCAATTACAAAGCGGCCCTTTAAGTAAATGCAATTTTACTTTCCTTCGTCCCATCTCTCTCACCCACCTCATCTTTCCCTCCCTCTTATTCTAACATTAGATTGTCTATGGTATGTGTATGTCACCACGAAATGTATCTTTATGCATTAGACATCCGTCAACATTCATTTTTTTCGCTTAATTAAACCCCTTCCACCCATCTCTCCTAAAATTCTCTCTGTTAAGGTTTAATCTCCCTCCTCCTCATACTTACACTTTCTCTAAATTCTGTTTTTATATCCGGAGTTGGTTTTTTTCTGTTTTCTTTTTGAATTTGTATGTCTGATGAATTGGATCGTATTTACAATTCCAATGGAATAGATTATGACCATGGAATATTAGTGTTTAAGCCTTTTATATATATATATATATATATATATATATATATATATATATATATATATATATGTAGGGACCTCCATAAAAAAAAAAACATGATACCTAAGGTTTAAAATTAATTTTTAAAAATGAAAAATCTTTCTTGAAGCTTTTATTTTAATTTTAATTTCAAGCTAATAGATTATTTAATATTTGCAATTGTCAAAATACTTTTTTGTATTTCAAAAACTAGTTTAAATTGACTGGATGGAGTTTTTTTTTTTTTTTCTTTTTTGCTAAAATAGCTGATTTATGAAAAATAGGGAGATAAAACATTATTGTATATTTTTGTGGGTTCAGTTAAAAGAGATTGGGGAGAATGGAGATTAATTGACAACAAGGCACACTGCAAAAAAATGATGAGAGATACTCAGATTTAAAACCAAAACAATTTTATTAAAAGAACTATTAGGAATGCACAAATTTGGCAGGAAAAGAGGCAATAAATTTCTGGAATAGTTAAAAAAATAATTTCATTTTAATTATTGGTTGATATTTTTAAATAGTTTACAACACAATTTATACATTAACAGTTCAAAATAGACCACTGCATACAGTCCATTATATTAAAAGGAATAATTGCTTCTGCATCCAATTCCACTAACAATTCCTTTTCAATGGATAGCAACATGTATGATTCCAATTTCTCCTCAGACAGCGAATTTCTTAGCCTTGTCTTTATGATCTTTAGTTTTGAAAATGTTGTTGTCTTGAGTAATTGATAGTGTGCAGATGACTTTATAAAGTTCTTATTCCTTTTTATTACTAAAACAGTTGTCTGTTTTTCTTTATTGAATTTTTATCTGCTATAGGAGGGGCTCACATATCATCAGGTAAGCTGAAACCCTGGCCAATGTATCACTGGTCCTCATCTCAGAAATTAAGACAGAAATCATTGATATATTTAGCAAGATGATGACAACAACAAAGATGGAAACATTAGTCTACAGCCTGTCTGAAGTTATTATGCAAATCAAATAAACCATAATAGTTCTGAAACAAACATACTGGAATCAATGTTCTTGGGTAAATATTTATTATAAGTTCCACTGTCAATTAGATTTTTATTATTTAATGATAAGGAAAGTCATTGTAGTTGCTCCCCCACCCCCCAAAAATGAATAAAATTAAGGAGCAGGTTAAAGTATCACTTTAAGACTTACTGTAGACTGAATTTTGGGGGATTATCATTATTTACAATTACACCCTGTCTGAAGTTATTAAGCAAATCACATAAACTTCAATACATCTCTGAATGTTTGGGAAATTCCTTGGAATATGGAGCTATTATCCAGTAACAATCCAACATTGTTATTGACTTGATATTCATTAGCCTTGGTTAGAAGCTTGTTTAGGAGACGGATCATTTTTATTTCAAAACTGAGGTAGATGAGACTTCTTGGTCAATTTGGTGACAACAATTCAAGAGGACAACAGCTTTATCCTTGTGGATGAGCTGTGACTTGGTAATCAGTTTCTGAGTAATTATCGAAAGAGGATTCCGGACCTGCTGATTTCACTTTCTTTCCAATGAAAATCATGGATGTGCTGGTCATGTAGTGTATTAGTGGCTTGAAATGAAAGACTAAGTTCAAATTCCAGTCAAGTTCATTATATTCACTTATGCACAAACACCCTTGAAAAATATGAATTAACCTCTTCTCCCACCAGCTATGGGTTAAAGGGTTAAATATCAGGATAAACTGAAATCTCTAGCCGTGGTTGGTAACCAGGCCAGGAGAAGGACAACTCTGAATTCAAAACTCAATGGTCCACAACCCTCAGCAAAGAGGATGGGAAGAAGCAAAGCGATGGACTTGATTGATTCCTTAAATTACCATCTTGCTAAATATCTCAGTGATTTATTAGAAGCATGTACTAATAATTGTGTTATAATGTGTAGGCACTACAGATTGTACCGGATGAAGTTGCTGTTGGTCACCAGTTTATAGCAGGATGAGTTACTACGTTTTATAGCTGACATGAAAAACTTTCAAAGTAAATGAATTCAACATGTTCAAAAAAAAAAAAAGAAATCAAGAATTTTTTAATCATTTCACCCCAAACAAGGTAATAAAGCCACTAAGATGCAAGGGCTTACTGTGTGTGGGAGAATATGAGAAAAGTAAACATTATAAAGGTGAGAGAACAATAAACAAACAGGATTTAAGAAGACAAATATTTTTAGATTACAAAAATTCTTTTTAAGATAATAATGATGTATGGATACAAATTCTACTAATTAATCAATAGCTGGAGGGTGAAGGAGTAGACTCATACCTTTCCCAAATGTATTTACACATAACTGAATATAGCAAACCCAAATGGAATTGGAACTCTGTTCTTCAATTTCCCATTCTGAGCCATTATCTATTGCACCACCTGCACAAGCTTACAGTACTTGATATTCCCAAGCGGTCACCTATTAATGTCCTGACCAGGCTCAATGTTGCTTAACTTTGGTGATTATACAAGAACCAATGTTTCAATGAGATATGGCATTATTCTTATAATCCCAAATATGTTTTGGCTTTAAATAACGCACAAAGGATTGATAAGTCATAAAAAATCAATCAATCAATTACTCCACTGTCTTTTGTGTTGAATATTGTTGTATGCAATCCATTTTTCATCACCTATTTTAGATATATATCATACTTATTATAAAACCCAGGTTGTGTGTGTGTGTGTCTGTACGTTTATATATTGGATCGGATTTCCTACATTTTTCAACCGATTTCAACAAAACTTCACAGGACTACATAAAATTACCTTATGGTGGTTCTGACAGCACCAAAAATTGGAAAAACACAATTGTTTTTGCACGAAATCAAT